GGTAAACTCCAAGGGGAGTGTTTTGGGAGGTCCCCGAGACTCCCTCTGGGTTCAGTGATTCGCTAGGAGGACTCACAGGACTCAGCATGGAGTCGTCTTCACGGTTGTAATTTATTATAGTGAAAGAATACAGAGCAGAATCAGCAAAGGGAAAAAACATTTGGGATGAAATCCAGGGAAACCAGGTACAGGCTTCCAAGGTCCTCTTTCAGTGGAGTCACACAGGATGCACTCAGTTCCCCCCAGCAATGAGTTGTGACAACACAGATGAAATGTAGTCTACCAGGCAAGTCAGTTAAAGACTTGGTACTCAGGGTTTTTATTGGAATCTGATCATGTTGCATGTCTCTGCCTGGCACATACCCAAATTCCAGATTCCTCAAAGGAAAGTAGGTGCTTGCCATAAACCATCTCGTTTACAGAAACAGTTTAGGCACAGTGAGCCATTCATATCAGTTGGGGTTGGGGAGGTGGGAACCCTCCTGAAGTACAGGTTCCCAAATGTCAGCCAAGGGCCAGCCTTGTAAGCCATTCTAAGCATAAGCAGTCAGACCTGCCAACTTAACTTTTTTCTGTACAGGAAATAAGAATGGTTCTTTTGTTTGTTTTTTATTTTGATTTTTTGAACAATGTGTTGCTTGCTATTGAATGACTAATCACCCTGGGGAAGAGTAAATTTCCCTTATAACAGACATGTTAGTTCTCTCCTGAGTAAGAGCATGATGTAAGAAATCCTAGAGGAGGCAAGCCAGCATGAAGATAGGGTTAAAAAAAGGCCTCTGACCTCACCAAAGTCCACATGGATTTTGAAAACTAATAAGGTAGAACTGCAAGATGCGGCTTTCCGTAAGACAGGCATGAGTATTCTGAATGCATGTACTCAAAAAGTTTTATTTCTCTCTAGGTGAATTCACTCATGAGATGCAAGTCAGGATACGACAAGAAATGGAGAAGGAAAAGAAGGTAGAACAGTGGAAAGAAAAGTTCTTTGAAGACTACTATGGACAGAAGTAAGGCACTTGGTTGCTGTGAGTGCTGGTCTGGGCTTTTGGGGGATAGAGGCAGATGTTTCAAAATCATATATATGTCTGTGTTGGATGAGAATGTGGAGTTTGCAGTGACTTGGCTCATTTAGCTTAACGCTATGCACAGGGAAGCTGCCAAGGGTTTTCCTAGGTTATTGTTATGCCCCATTGCAGATTTATTTGGTTCTGAGACATCTGACATCTGGGTATGTGTCATTCATAAAAATAAAATAGACATGTTATCTCTGCCCTGTTATTATAACTGATGGTGTGAGTTTGGTTTGCAGATTGGGTTTGACCAGAGAAGAGTTGTTGCAGCAGAATGTTGTCAAGGAGGAGGCCGAAATCAAGAGTGACTTGCGTGTCCCAGGAGAGTCAGCACGGCCACAGCGTGGTCCGGCCACCCGGCAGCGAGATGGGCATTTCAAGAAACGCTCTCGGCCAGATCTCCGGACCAGAGCCAGAAGGAATCTGTACAAAAAACAGGAGCCAGAACAAGGAGGGAATGCTAAGGACACACAGTCTGCGACACCAGACACCCCCCACTACCAGCATAGGGAGGCTAAGTCCGACTCAGCCGAGGCGGGCAGTCCCCACCTGTCCGACACATCCTCTGCAGCGCCAGACCCCAAGGGTCCCGATTTCTCAGCGGAAACTGGGGCTTCTCGGATCCAGACCAATCCGGATGACCTGGCACGGGCCTGTGAGTCTCCAGACAGAATTCCCACCTTGCCTCAGGAAACTGTGGATCAGGAACCCAAGGATCAGAAGAGAAAGTCCTTTGAGCAGGCGGCCTCTGCATCCTTTCCCGAAAAGAAGCCCCGGCTTGAAGATCGTCAGTCCTTTCGTAACACAATTGAAAGTGTTCACACCGAAAAGCCACAGCCCACCAAAGAGGAGCCCAAAGTCCCGCCCATCCGGGTACGAAACTATTTGATTCCTAGCTGCCTAGGGGCCAGATTCCCCTTGATGGCCAGGAGCCCCTTTGTGGAGCCCCTTTGCAGGGCCCTTGTGTCGATTATGTGGGTGCGTAGAGCCCTTCACAAGAGAGCCATTCCTGCGACAACTTGGTGATTAAAGGGATGAGGTTCTTTCCTGCCTTGCATGTTTGTTCACTCTGAAGTTATGTCTAGAGGTCAGAACCCTGTGGGGCTTTCAGATCTTTTATTATGTGGTACTAGATTCTCTGTGTAGTGACTCGCACAGTCCCACCAGAAATTAAATTTAGAAATGTGGCATGTAATGGCCCTTGAACAGAGCCTTCTCGGAATGGTGTGGTATCATGGACAGCCATTTTACCATAACTGTTTCATTTTTAAAGAAAATGGTTTGGTTCTGTAGGCCGTGGCCCCTAAGCTAGAAGAATCCCAATTTAGCTTTACAGTGCTTAGGTCAAAACACACAGTCAATTAAAAACTGTTTTCTTATTCTTCTCTTGCAGATTCAACTTTCACGTATCAAACCACCCTGGGTGGTTAAAGGTCAGCCCACTTACCAGATATGCCCCCGCATCGTCCCCATCACGGAGCCCTCCTGCCGGGCCTGGACTAGCGCCAGGACACTTGCAGACATTAAAGCCCGTGCTCTGCAGGTCCGAGGGGCGAGAGGCCACCACTGCCATCGAGAGGCGGCCACCACTGCCATCGGAGGGGGGGGTGGCCCGGGTGGAGGTGACGGCAGGGCCACCGATGAGGGAGGTGGCAGAGGCGGCAGCATTGGTGATGGTGGTGAGACCTGTGGCCACCCTGAGCCCAGGGGAGCCCCGAGCACCCTTGGAGAGTGCGCGTCAGATCTACAGCGAACACAACTACTGCCGCCTCATCCTCTAAATGGGGAGCACACTCAGGCTGGAACTGCCACACCCAGAGCCAGGAGAGAGGACCTGGCTTCTCTCAGAGAGGAGGACCGCTGCCCCCTGCAAAGAGTGCCAGACATTCTCACAAGTGGGCTGGAAGATGCCTCCCAGCTCCCAGTTGTTCCCACTGGGGACCAGCCATGCCAGGCTTTGCCCCCAGTGTCCTCCAAAACCCCAGCACCTGAGAGTGTAGTTGAGCAGCCTACATCGCATCCTAGTGTTAGAACTGAATATGAGTCTAGTCCCACTTCTTGGGAAAAGGATAATGAGGAGCAAGAACCCACTCTTCCCCCAGAGAATGGTCTTATTCAGTCTCTAGTGGGGAATGTTGTATTAGAAGAAGAAACTGGCCAGGCTTTGGATAGTGACAGTAATCTGACCATGAAGGATCCTGTGAATGTGACCCCCAGTTCCACCCCTGAGTCATCATTGGTCAGTTGCCTACAGGATAGACAATTTGATGACGAATTAGGACTTGGTGACTCATGCCCACCCACGAGGGAAAGTGCTACTAGACAAGAAGACTTGAAGGCCGAGGCTCTCATCTCCAGTGGTGCTGTTCCTTGGATGCCTGGCCTGTCGAACGACACGGTAGGACAGCCCGAATCAGACTCCAGAGAGAATGTCCCATCTCGTGAGCCCAAGGTTGGAGAAGAATGGGAGGAGGCTGCTCCCCTTATTCCTACGTTGCCTGAGGGGTTGACAGCTGAAGAGGGTCTTCATTTCCCTGACAACTGTCCTTCACTCTGGACAGTGCCATCTCAGGAGTGTGTTGACAGTGGTGGTGGTGACTACAAACAGGTCGAAGTTGAAAAGCTGAAAATCAGTGGAGACTCCAAAGCACCGAGTCCTCACAGTGAGTCCACAGACACAGCCTCTGACTTTGAAGGCCACCTCTCAGAGGACAGCAGTGAGGCTGCCCCTAGCGAAGCCACAGTGATGAAGAGGTCCTCGGTGGACAAGGAGGAGAAACACAATCGGAGCGGCTCTGCCTCACTCTGCAAGGTGAATGGTGACCCGAGTCCGGTTACAAGGACAGACAGGATGGTTGCTTCTCAGAGCTGGGTATCTCGTGTCTGTGCGATACCCCCGAAGATCCCAGACTCCCTGCTGCTGGCCAGTACTGAGTACCAGCCGAGGCCCATGCCCCTGGGCCGGCCTGGGTCCTCAGTGGAGGCCACTAACCCACTTGTGATGCAGTTGCTGCAGGGCAACTTGCCCCTGGAGAAGGTTCTTCCTCCAGCCCTTAGTGACAGCAAACCCAAATCCCCACGGCTCCCACTTGTGAAAGAGCAGGGGATGGGATCGCTGCACGATCCTAGGGAGAGCAGCTGCGCGGTTGACAGGAATAGCCCCGGTTCTTTAAGAGCTTCAAAGGAGCCTCTTCTACACGACAGCCGTGAAGCCAGCTCTGGTCTTGCCAGGCTGGAGGTCATCCAGGCTCCTGGAACGCCCCAAAAGATTTCCAAGACAGTCCCAAGTTTAGATTCCTTATATCCGGTGACAAATTCGACAACTGTCTCTAGGAAAGCAGAAGTGGATTCCAAAGAGCAGTTCTCTCCCTTTAATTTTGAAGAACAGAAAGAAGCCGGTAACTTGTCTCAGGGCAGTAATTCAAATGCTGCCCCAGACAAAAGCCCAGGAAATCACACTACCTCGAGAGCCCCTTGTTTCTTATCTCCAAATGTGGTCTCCTTGGGTCCCAGTCAGACCGGTCGGCCCTTGGGTGGTCAGGACAGTGCTGGAGGCCAAGGGAAGAAGCTCTTTGGCTCTATAAATGAGGCTGCAGCCCTTCCGTGCCCCAGGCCTGTGGAGCCAATGCCGCTACCTGCTGACGCCCCTCCTGGTTTTCCCAGTAGAAAGTTGGGGGCAACTAAAAACTCTGTGTCTGGTGGGGTACAGACTGCCAGGGAAGACTGGGCTCCAAAGCCACCTCCTGCCTCTGTTGGCAGCATCAAGAGTGAGAAGAGTTTTGTGGGGGTCCCCCTCAAGATGAATGCAGAGAACAGAAATGCAGCTGGACTTGGTCCTCGGGAGCTGGTGGATCACCTGCAGGCGATGCCCTTTGTCCTTGACCTGCCCTTCTGGAAATTGCCCCGAGAGCCTGGGAAAGGGCTCAGTCAGCCTCTGGAGCCTTCCTCTATCTCCTCCCAACTCAACATCAAACAGGCATTTTACGGGAAGCTTTCCAAACTCCAACTAAGTTCCACCAGCTTTAATTATTCCTCCAGCTCCCCCACCTTTCCCAAAGGCCTTGCTGGAAGTGTGGTGCAGCTGAGCCACAAAGCAAATTTTGGTGCGAGCCACAGTGCATCACTTTCCTTGCAAATGTTCACCGACAGCAGCACAGTGGAAAGCATCTCGCTCCAGTGTGCTTGCAGCCTGAAAGCCATGATCATGTGCCAGGGCTGTGGTGCATTTTGTCACGATGACTGTATTGGACCCTCAAAGCTCTGTGTATTGTGCCTTGTGGTGAGATAATAAATTATGGCCATGGGAAAAGTTGTATATTTAGTGTGTGTATTTTGATAATGATTGATCTTAAATCTGTATACAGAATATCATTGATATAAGACTTTCTAGGCAGGAGCATTCTTGCCTCTTCCTAAAATTTATAGTGCTAAAGGCCCTGTGTCACTTACCAACCTTCCAGTCTTGCTGGAGGGGTTTCTTGAAGGGCAGCTTGTTGGGCTGCCTAAGCCTGACTGGCCAGCCCCAGCTCTCATGCAGTCTGGTGTGTGGGGAGCCTGCCTGACACCCAGAGGGACTTGAAACTGAAGAAAGAAGGTCGTGTTCTTCAAGAGAACTAACCTACCCAAACTGAGTAGAAATGTCAGTCTTCCACTGCCCCCTCCCTGCCATCTTTTCTTCTGCTACTCCATCTGGGGAGCTGATTGATGGTTGGGGAAGAACCAGCACAGGGTTAATGTAACTCCCAGCAGTGCCCACCAGGGGGCTCAAACACCTGCTGACCTTAGGGTCACAGTTCATTCAGATGCCAGTTTGACCTTTGGTTCTGTTACTGAAGCAAATTTGGGACTTTGCTGTGTCCATACAATCCACTGTTCCACAGGAGCTTTTGGAACCTTGAATACATCTGCTTGGACAATGGGGTCGGGCATACGGTTGTCTTCTTAAAATGCCATCTGTAGACCTTGTAAGTGTGACATCCAGATGATTGGCAGGTGAATGCCTCTGCCTGACACCTTCCCTGCCACTTTGGACTCTACGGGAGTGGGCATCTCCACGCACATGTGTATGTGAAAATCATTTTACATTTTAAAACTGTGTGTGTTTTCTTATTTTTATATTTTTAACTCTACCCTTGGATGTATAAAGTGAAATTTTTGGCTTCTGTAAGTATGCTCTATGCACCTCTAATGTTTTATCATGTATTTATATGTTGTACACAGTACTGGCTGATTCTGTAAATGGATGTATTGTACAGAGAACATGAACGTCTCTCCCTTACTTTACGTCTTGGGCATCATTGCATTAAAGTGGTATAATTGACTTCTTTACACCTGTGTCAGAGCCACTGCATGCTGTGCTGCCTGACCTGAGGGTGGAGTGATTGACTTGGCGATACACCAGGTTGGCCTGGTGCCCTGTCACAGGTCACCCAGTGGACCTGCTGCAGCCCGAAGAGCCATTGTCAGCCTGCCTGTCCGCACGCTACTGAGCAAATGCATCTCGCTCCTCACATCTCTTCTCCAACCTTCAGTAGCTGTTTGGTGCCATATGTGACAAATCAACACCACCAGTGTTAAGTGCTTCTGAATTCAAGGGTGAGTGCCCTGGGCAGCCCCAGCTGGGCCTTCCAGACCTGGCTCCAGGGCCACCCCACCTGTTAGCAATACCTGGGACCATGCTCTCCTTTTGACATACTTTTGACAGCGGGTTGGGGATAAAACAGCCAGGCCTACTGCCTGCCTCCCAACACATTTCTGACAAATAGATGTCTCCATAGTTGTCTTTCCTCATACCCTGCTTCCTGCCTTATTTCTTGTACCTTGACTTGTTGCAGAGTTGAGGATCCCTGTTTTTATCTTTGGTCTCCCTGTGTGAGTGCTTCTGTGTGAAGTATAAAATTGATATGACTTTCAGCAGGTCTCATTTCATCTGAAACTTCTCTTCTTCTCCCATCCCCCACCCTCATTTAATCCAGTGTGGCATCTTTGTCATCTAAAGCATGAGTGAGAAGTTGGCAATGATGTGGTGGCAGTTTAAATGCAGTATGGGTCAAGTCCAAGTTGTCAACTTCAAGAGTCTGTTTACCAAAGACAGGGAACAGAGGCCCAAGCGTGTTTGATCCTCTTCTTCCTTGTGCTGTGACCTTTTGGGGCCACTCTAGGGTACAGTTTGAAACTGGTCCGGTCCATGGGGCTGCACAGGGAAAGCACTGCTCTTGTATGTCTCTTGTGGTATTGGAAAAATAAACCTGTACAACCTGCACTGTGGTCTCAGTCATCTTCTGTGGCTGCCCATCTGGGGTGGGAAAGGAGGTCAGGCTGGAGTGCAGAAGCTGCATAAAAGGAGCAAACGTCAGCTTACTCACCTTGGCTCTGGAGCTCATGTTGTGTAAGGAGCTCTTATGAGGTGAATCCTAAAGGCATGACTTGTCAGTTTCACTGGTCTGTAGACTGCGTGACTTGGCAAACTTTCCTACCGTAAGCACTGGAAGCAGGAATCTAATGAAAGTGATGAGGATGCTCATCCCAATTGCCTCACTGAGACTAAGGTTGTCCATTAGGAAACTAAGGAGTTTCCTAATGGCTGGTGATCTATGGGGAGGGTGAACAGGTCTGACCTTTAAAAGCCATAAACATGAGTGCTTTGCGCAGTGGCAGCAGTGAGGGAGGTGCTGGCGCAAGATGGGGTCTGAAGCTCGCGTGAGGCTGAGTGGAAGACAGCCCTCAGGGGCCAACTTCTCAGTTAAAGTCAGACTTACCTGGAGTGCTTACATACATGATTTTGTGCTTGTGAGAAACTGTGTAAACAGCAAAAGTAAAAAGATGGAAAGTAAAGATGAACTGAAATGTGTACCCATTAATTTGTTTCCTGTGATTTAGAGCAAGTACGCCACACAGTGGAACCTCTTTGGGGCAGTTCAAGCTGCAGTTTTGCAGTGCTGCTGTTTGAAAACATGCAATTGGAGAAGTTATGGTTAGGGGGCTCTGTGGTGACTGGGCAGCCGCCTGCTGGTGAAGATGTGTACTTGTACCTTCTTGTCACAGAATCTCTTCACTTTTGTCTGCAGAAGCTTAGAATGCATTAGGATCCAGAGTCGCATCTCGTCAGGGAGGCGGAATTGCGTAGTGGGTTAGAGTGCAGGCCCCGCTGACCTGCCAGCACTGTGGTTGGGGCAGTTACCTAGCCTCTCTGCCAACTTTTCCATCTCTGAATGGGGATAGTAGTTCCTACTTTATAAAGTTGTTAGTACTCCAGACTGTTAGCTTGCACCAATCACTGCATGAACTTATAGTAGAAATCTGTACAGCTTCTGGCACCTGCTGACCTTCAGCCCAGAAGGGAACTGTGGAGATGTGGGCCTGCTGTCCTGTGTTGACCGGTGGTGTGGTCTCACACTACAGTTGTTGAATACACAGTCCTGAGTTTAAAGACTGTGGGAGACATTTTACTCAAGATCCAGTGGATGAGGAAACAATTTTTCTGAGTATGAAAAGAATATCATCTTACTGGCCTGGTGAGGTGTTCACTTGTTTTTATTTAAGTCCAACCTGCCCTTGAGGCTTGAGGAAGTCAGACCCTGCTTGAGTGTGGTATGTGGGTATGTGTGTGTGCTTAATAGAGTAGCCTTTCTACTTCAGGGACCTCGAGGGACCAAGCATCTGCCTGCTCTGTGCCCTGAGGGGAGGTGGCACAGGCTTGTCTTGCCCTCCTGTGGGTGCCCTTTAAAGTGAAAGGGTGCATTTTGTGACCTTGGAGGTTAATAGTTGTAACCAAACATCGACAGTGTCCTATGCTTTTCCTGTCTCTGTGCATCAGTTTGAAAGCCTGGGATGAACATCTCTACCAGAAGATGCAGATGGAAGCTCTATGAGGAAAAGAAGAGTAACAAAAAGACAGCTGTCAGTGCAGTGGCTCTTAGCCTTTCTGGGAACATGGGCTCCTTTGAGAGCCCGATGGAAAGGCTGGACCCTCTCCCCCAAGAAATGCACGTACACGCGGAGTTGTGCATACTATTTCAGAGGGCGCGCAAGCTCCTTTTGGCAGCTTGGGCCCCTCATTTAAGAACTCCCGGACCGATAATAAACCTAATGAAGTCTGGGTTTATACAAAAGACCAAGTTGGGGAGAGAGGACTTTGCAAAGGATTCTTAGATTTCCTGTAACTACTAAACTTCCATGGTGCATTTTAAATTACTTTAAAAATGTGGTGCTGTGCATGTTCTCCCCTTTTGCTCACTGAGTGAAGTGAGGGTTGCCTGTTCTAAGGGCATTCCCATGTGGGGTCCTTTACACTGTTAGCAGTGGCCTGGAGCTCCATTTAAAGAAGCCAGATGGGGGACCAAGCAGCGCTTCTCTGTCCTCCAGCAATTTTGCCCCGCATCCCAGTTTTCCTGTGGAGCTGTGGCGCTTTGTCTACAGGTAAGTGCTTTCCTGGTCGGCCAGTGTGATCTGCATGCAGTGGGTCTGGGTTCTGGATATGTTGTCCCGGGTTGTGGGGGTTTATGTTCCCTTGGCAGTTCTCAGCAATGGTAGTTTCAGTAGGACAAGCGTTTTCATGGTATTACTAGAGAATTGCTGCCCGCCCATGGTCCGTCCCCACATGTGTGTGAATAGATGGCGTGCTGAGGTGCCATCTACTACTTTGTACTTGGTACTTTGTACTGAATCTTAGCCTCAGTGTGTACACCCTGGGTACAGTGGCTTCAAACTATTGGCCCCTATCCTTTTATATATTTGGCAACTGTACAGAATTTCTATTTTAAAAAGATTCTTCTGCCATTGACAAAAAGTAAATGTTTTGAAAACCGCTTGCTATATAGTTGTGTGTGTATATATACACAGACACACATGCATAATTTTTAACAGTAAAACTTATGTTTATGCTTTTAACTCAACATGGTCAGAATTGTTTTTAGACTTACGACAATGAAGTTTGTCCCCTACTCATATTCCTGCAAGTTTTTTTTTTTGAAGTTTAACCTAAATGACATATATAGGATGAAAAAAAGTCTGTGTACAAACAAACATCTTTGGAAAAAGCAGCCCTTTTGTTTCCTTCAAGGTGGAATCCAGGGTTTTGAGTCATGTGGAATGTTGAGTAGTGGCGGTTCAGGACCAGGGATGGTGTTTCCTCAGTTTTCCAAGCCAACACTTGGGGATCGTTAGGTGAGTTTGGTTTTTATCAGTTGAAGAGCTGAGCAGTGGGGTGAGGGGAGTGGGAGGGCAACGAGGTCTACAGGGAAACAACGACACTTAAGACCTTGCTTGGTCACTGGCTGAGTTTAGGAAGGTGTGCCCCCAGTGTGCCCCTGCTAACTCATCCTTTAGTGGGGGCGAGGACACCTCCCTGGGAAGGTGACAGGTTTCAACATGGTGCCGCCTGCATTTGGCACTTGGCGAGCATCAGTGAAGGTTCGTTTCTTTCTCTTTCTAATGGGCTAGGTGCTGCAGGACGTGACACTTTCACTTGTTCAAGAAAATTTACCGAGGACCTTCTGTGTGCTGGATTTTGGGCTAGGAAATGGCGGAATCTACTCGTAGAAAGGTATTTCAGTGCCAAACTAGATTTGGAAGGAAGAGGTCTAGCTGGGGGTGCTGCTGTTGAGAGGACACAGCGGGCAAAAAGTATTCGGTTTGTTATTCAGTGTTTATTAAGTAGATTCAGTCTTATATATGATATACAGATTCAAAAGAAAAAGGATTCCACATACTTATGAAATCAGTGCATTTAGCAAGTAATACCATGGAGATAACAGCTCGATTAACAGCTCATTGGTCTTTTGTTAAGTGAGGGGAGAGGGAGTTGGCCTGTGCTAGTCATTCCACAAACAAAACAGAATTTAGTTGCATCACATAGAGAAGACACAGTCTAAGAATTAAAATATTAAGCCACATTTACTGGAAAAACTCACTATATAGAACACAAAGAATTTGTATAGAGCATTGAGGAGGAAGTCCTCACCTGCTTAGAAGAGCCACGTTAAGTTGCATAGGTGCATATCTGTAAAAATATAATTTAGAGGTGAAGCCACTGATTAAGTAATAAAGAGTCACCTTTAAAAGTTGGTGCCATCCACTGTTTGCCTTAAGTGCCATATGCTTACCATCTGGAGCCCCCAATTCCCCCTTCCCCCCGGAGCTGATGCCTTATGCACAAGGTGCCTCCAGCCTCCAGTGGAACCCTGAAGAAATGCTTGTGCCGCCTGCACTGGAGAGTCTTAAAATCTTGTCTCAGAGGGAACTTGCGCTCTTTTAAAACATGTCCGAATTATGCCAGAGGACTGATGACCCCTTGGGTTGTCCCTAAGTCCTGGTTGGCTTGATCCTGAAGGTCACGTCATCTTGACCTTCTTATTCCCAGGCTGCTGAGAAAACCATCCACAGCTCTGCAGTGAAGTCCCGCCTTCACTTTTCATAGGAAAAGTCCGCACAGTCCCCCACTAGCGGCCACAGGAGGTCTCTGTTCTGACCCCTGCTTCTAAATGGACCACATGATAGACACATATGGGCCATCTGCCGCATGGAGATTTGTCTGAGCTTTGAAAAGTGTTTTTCAGCAAATCTGAGTTCTCTGTGGTGTAGGTTTTTAGTTTTTGTTTTTAGGTGGAAACAGGTAAAAAGCGAGAGAGGTTTTTGTTTTGTGGCTTTGCTAAGCAGATGAGCTTAGTGAGGTGCACCTTCCTCCTCATGAGCGAGTCTTGCAGAACACACAGGGGCTGGGGCATCTGTACATGTAAACAGTACACTTTCACTGAGTCCAAAATTAGGAGCAAAAATACAAAGGTTCACATTGGTCTTAGGTAGATACAGGCGAAAAAGGATTGAGCTATATAGCTCAGAAACAACGAAAACAAAGTTTCTAAAGCACCACTAAATTATATAAAAATCAGACCATGGACGGATTGAAACTGGTATTCTGGTGAAATACTTTACTATCTTGTAAAAAGTTTTACAAAAAATTACAAATGAAAAGTATCAACCCTCTGAGTTCAAAGCAGCATTTTGAAGATGAACTGGTAGTTAATCCTATAACCACCCCTGGAGTCGTAAGTGGCCCTTGGGAATAGGGATGGCTGGGTTCAACCTGTCTGAAATCCTCTGAAGCCCTCCTAGCCCCTGCCTGTCCGCCCCCTCCATGCTGTCCTTGGGTGTACACTGTTTGTAGGAGTGGTGAGGGCAAATGAATTTCAGATGTATCACATTATTTCTGCTCTACCAGATGATCTCACTAAGACCAATCCCCATTCTCCTGATTGCGCCCTTCTTGTGGGATTTCCCCCCTGCAAAGACTCTGGAATTGGTGTGTTCTACTCTTGCTTTACCTTTTTAGCTTGAGATCCCAAATGACTCATTTGTGCCCCGAGGCCCTCCCTCCATAAGAATTTTAAATGGCTGTGGGGCAGGGCTTTGGGAGAAGGCAGTCCCTGGGGTGAGGGTGGGACAGCAGGAGTGAGGTTCATCAGAACCAGCTTCTTGGGTGCTCGCCAAGTCTGGAGGAGAGGGACAGGGTTGAAGCTGCATCTTTGAAAACAAAAGCAAAACAGAACAAGTTCCCTGACTGAACTAGCTAATGGAATCCTGTTTCCACACAGTAACTTGCTCCTGATTCTGCCATCTCCAGGGCTTCCGGTGTAGCTTCACTGGGAAGGAGCCCACCCGAGAGGTGGGGTCAACGCAATGCAATCCCGTCCTGGAGGGGCCGCTGGAAGCCCCAGTGGTGGACTAAGTACCACTGGCTTTCCTTTCCTTTAAAACGCATTGAGCCTCCGCTCTTACCGCAGTACTAGGCCAGCTGAAGGTGGTCAGTTCGGGCAGCCTGAACTCAGAAAAACACGACTTCAAACTGTAGCTTACATTGATCTTTAAATCTAATCCCTTGTGTGGTGGTGGCGGGAGCCCCTTCCCGAATCTTTCCCCTGTCAAGAAAAGCAAACCGTTCGTGCCTGGCTTGGTTACTGCCTCTGGGAGGAGAAATGACATGTTAAGCAATTGATAGCAAGAATTCTAAGGCGGCGATTGTCTCTGCCAGTTTTCAACATTAAGATTTTCACAAATTGCCTGGGGTAACATTTTGCGAAAGATCTACTGATTACTTTGTAATATTGTTCACACACAAAAATAAATATTTACACAAATTCAAACGTCAGGGAGTGTACTGAGCAGGTGGGGGCTGGGTGTGTGGATGGCCGGGGTGTGAGAGAGGCCTTGGGCACTGGAGTTTGTGCTGTGCTAAGAGGGAGTCTTGGGTGTCCTGGCCCTGACCGGAGGCCTGGGGATGGGTCAGTTGGAAGGCAGAGGTGGTGTTGGGGTGGGGTGTTGGAGGCCACTTGAGAGAGAAAAGACCATCCCTAACCTCTAGGGGCTGGAAGTAAGCAAAGGGTAGGGCACCCTACCTTTCAGAGTTTCTGGATTCCAGGCAGGGTGGGGCACCCATGCTGGAGCCCCATCCCCACCCCTCCTGAGGGTGGTCTGCCACAGTGCCAGGAGGCAGTTGGCTGCAGAGAAGCTGGTTTGGGAAGGGGTGCCTGTTCTGGGGTCTAGTGGCTCTCTGTGGCCATCATAGGGTCCGCTCGGCCCCGGCTCCCCTGGGGCCTCTTTGCTCTGAGGGAGGAAAGGCAACAGAGGGCTTCTGCCAGCTCTGGGCAGGGGCGGGCAGCAGAGGGCTGCTGTCATGGCTACGGAGTGTTGCACGGAGAGGCCCCATGGGCCTTCTGAGGTCTGGGCGAATCCCTGGTTTTAGCAGCACTGGTAGGTATTGCACTGAGCAAGAGGAAGTGCCTATTGAGAGGAAGGAAACCAGGCCAGCCTTTTCTTTGCCCCTTTTCACACTCCAGGAATTTTGGATTTCTTCTAGGACTGATTCCCTTCAGAAGAAGGGGTAGCCCTAGGAGAACCCAAGTGGCTTCTCCACTTCTGTTGATGATCCCTTTATTTCAACCATGGGAGCCAGGGATGGGAGCTGCAGTCCACCCAGGGGCTCACCCTGAAGAAATGGGCCTTTCCTAGCAGGTGTCCGAGGGCCCTGGGTCTGTGCGAAATGTTCAACCTGGCTCCCTGGGGGCAGGGTGAGGGCAAGGACCCTACTGACTGGCTGCCGTCTCCCAGTGCTCGGTCCTGTCTAGCTGCTGGGAGGGCCGGGGCCCTCTCTGGGCTCCAGCTTCTGCCACCCATCTGGACTTAACTCCCCGGCAGACACAGTGTGGGGGGAGTTGGGAGACAGCCATTCAGAACAGGCTCAGGGCACATCCTGGAAAAAGCCCCCGCTGGAGTGTGAGGTAGAGTACAGGTGGCTGTGACTGGGGCTTCTGTGGAATGGGGTGAGGGTGGGGGGAGCCGTGAGTATTTGTCTTTGTTTTGCAGTGGGTATGGGTGAGGTCCTCCTGCTTGGCGGTGCTGGGCACTCAGAGGGACAGCCGGCCTGGCGCCCGCCCCACCACAGCCCCACCCTGCTGGACCCCGCCCGTGCCAGTGTAGTGATATGGAATGTTAGGTCACAGGGAGACATCCTTCTGATCAGACAGACACAGACTGGCAATCTGTACAAACACAAAAGAATCCATTTTCAGAAAAATAAATTACTAAGGGGAGAGGAAGAAAGGGTCCACTTTGTTTTTCTCAATAAATATGCAATTCTGCTCACCTAAGACTTGAAAGGTAATTATCTGGGGGTGGGATTCTAATATCAGGGTCCACGAAGATGATTCTAAATAGAGCTGTGGCCCCAGCGCCTTGTAAGGGGAGCCCCAGCCCTTCCAAAGCTGCCCCATCGGCCTCTTCCAAGCAGGTCAGAGCACCCGTGTGGTGAGATTTCAAAAAAAAAAAGTGTCCTTGTGCCCAAAGTCTCAGGTGCTTGGAGTGTGGCTAGAAACAGCTTTTTTGGATCCCACCTCTTTCAAAAAACAAAATGTACCAATTGGTGAGGCAGGAAGCCGGGTCCAGGGCAGCCTCCTTCCCTAGGGTAGTGCACTCCAGGTGCCGCTGGGGGTCAGTTCTGCTGTAAAATGAGGTTTTCCAGTTCGTCTGCCGAGCGCAGCAGGAAGGCAGCAGACTCTCGGTAGCCGGCGATGAGCTGCCGCACAGCACTGATCTCTGTGGGGCTGAGCTGGGCGGTGGGCATGGTCCTGCTGGTGCTGTTGCTGGAGGGCGTGGGGGTGGGTGTGGTGGAGGTGGTGGAGGCCCCGCCTTTCATGCTGAGGTCCGTGGGCCCTGTGGAAAGGGAAAGGCAGGGTGAGGGGGAGCAGACACCTTGGCTGGCACCTGGGAGGTGCCATCGTCCTTTATATTGTCCTGGGAGTCTGCTATGGGTCAGGCACCTGGGCCCGAGGCCTTGGTCCGGTCTTGAGGGTTGTACCCCTAATGCCTAGCGGGAATGGGGCCTGGTACCAGCCGATGAGACACAGGGTTCTCTGTTACTTCGTTAACCCTCATGGTGATCCCACAAGGAAGGAGACCTGTCATGGCTGTGTGACAGGAGGAAGGAGCCAAGGCCCGGTGGTTGGTTGACAGGTTTGCCAGAGATCACATGGCGAATGTATGCATGTGGTTCTCCATTCGGGGCAGGGTGGCATGCAACAAGGGCGTTGGTGTCAGGGAACAAGGCTCCCCGGCACCAATCACACCTTTGCTTCTTTCTAAGGACCGTCAGGTAGATGGTGCCCCCCGCAGCAAGCATGCAGCCTGGCTCAGGTCTCCAGGTGAGGAGGAGGCCTCAAGGCAAAGGAACTTCCCTTACTCTTTCCAACGTGATAAGCAGACCTTCAACCAGGAAACTGACAATACCCCAGAGGAAGGAAGGCAGTCGGCATGTCTGGTGGCAGTACGGGTATGTGTGTGATCCTCCCCCAACAGCCCAGCTGTCAGCAGAGGTGGCGTTGGAGATGCTGCAGATAGACAGGCAGGGGCCTGATCCCTGAGGGACAAGTGTGCAGAGCTGAGTGGAGCCACAGAAGACCAGGAAAAGAAACACCTGCATGTGGTCAGACAAGGAAGAGGCTTCTGTCCAGCTGGAGAGAAGAAAGGCCAGCTGGCCTTCTTGGCTGTGGGAGAGAGGCGGGGTCAGACCAGCCAGACTGTGACCACAGCCCACAGGAAGGGCTGGGAGCGTTAAACCTGTCTCTGAGGAGCTGTGGCACCTCAAATTCTCCTTACTTTGAGGAGATTTTTTGTGCCCAAGCTAGGCGAAGGTCACTGCTGCTGGGACAGGAGAGAGTGGGGTGGGTGTATGGGGACCAGAATGGTCAGGACAAGACCCAGAGGTGCTGCATGGAGAAAGCGCCTCCCCTTTACTCTTGGACAGTAGCAGTAAAAAGGAAGCCTGAAGTCTTCTGAAACATATTAGGGGTGTATGTTGAGGGGTCCCCTAGGCCCTATCTGCCCTCTGCTTTTCCCTGCAGCTCTGTAGGGTGGGCCGCCGGTTTTGGAACCAGGCCAGCTTGGACTCAAGTCCTGCTCTGCCACTCCACAGGCCATTCTCTAACTTCTCAGCCTCAGTCCCTCATCTGCAACGTGAGGAGGCTGCCGTGGAGCCGAGCTGTGCCTGTGAAACCCTTTGCGCAGCTGGGGCTTCTCAGCCTGCAGAGGCCCACACTGGGGAGGGCCTTCCAGACCCGTTGTCTGGCTTTCTGAATGGGCTCTCAGGAGACATGGAAGTGCCTGGAATTTGAAAAGCATTCCTTCAAGGTGTTCAGCAAGAAAACAGCCAAGAAGTGAGGGTCCTGGGCTGTGGCAGCTGGAGCTTCCTTTGGGAGGCCTTCTCTGACCCAGCTAGGTCAGTCCCCGTCCCCTGCCCCCACCGCCCGTATGCAGACGTTATCTTACATGGTGTGTGAGGCTGTTCTTGGTTATCAGGCATCTCCCCACTACCCTGTAGGTTCTGATAGTGGTTTCACTCATTATTGCATCTACAGTGGCAGTTTTTATGCTGCTACAAAGCGAGATGAACAAGCTCTTGTCATTGTAGACATAAGGATGGGAAGTAACAGCTTAAGAGAAATTATGGAAACTCGACTGCTACTAAAAAGGAAACCAGGGAAGGAAGTTGGAGTATAAGAGGGGACAGTTTGTCACATGGGGCAATTTCCTCTCTAGAGAACATGGACGTCAGTGAGGAGGTCCTAGGAACTGGCTCACTAAGGAACAACCTTGACATTGAGGGTCAAGGGAACACGTAAGTCTGTTAAAGTGAAACAGAGGAGGGAGGAGTGGGGCTGTGGTTTGCTGGGAACAGTCGTCAAGCAGGTGACTGACTCCCATGTTGGTGGACAAATGAGACAGGTTGGGAACAGGGGGGGCCTCTGCTGGCTCCTGGAGGGGAGGTGGGGTGTTGGTCCCCACTGGGATGGCTCCCAGTCCCCTCCAGATGATGCTTGGGGATGGCAGACAAAGGCCGGAGCTGCCTGCCACAGGTGGTGAGCTGGTCCTGGGCTTCCCCTCTCCCCTCCCTCCACCCCCAAGTTTTGTCCTCTTCACCCCTGTGTGCTCAGAGCTGTCCTTCTCTCTAGCTACAGCCCAGAAAGGAGGATGGCCCTATTTCCTGCAGCCAATCTGATCTGGAGCCACTCTCCCTCGGGCTCCAGTTACAGAATGCTGCTCAAGTTGCCAGGTGGTTGCTGGAGGGGACGGAGCAGCAGGAGCTGCCCAGCATCCCAGGCAAGACAGGCAGAACCCAATTCAATCTAAGCTGCTTTGCATCTCCAGATGACAACCTAATGAACAAAGTGAGTAACTGAGCCGCTAGTATGGCTGCCCAAGCCAGGTTCCAAACTGACCGAACGATCATTTAGAGGGCTGCTGGCTGGGGAGGGCAGTGGGACCCCTGCAGCCACACAGCTGTCACTTTCCTCCAGCTGCTGGACTCAAGCCCAGTGTCCACAGGACACGCTGCCCAAGGCGAGGAGGTAAATGAGCAGTCCTCTGCCTCAGTGACCTCACCACCCACCTCTAAGGAAGCAGGGTGCTCACAGATGGGGAGACCAAGGCTCCGGGAGGGGCAGAGCCAGTGGCCTTCCCTGAAGCCTCTGTGGCAGGTGTGACCAGGGTGGGGAATGCAGCAGGCCCAGCACCCTTGAGAGGCCAGAGCAGCCCCGACAGCCTGCAGCCCTGAGATGGGCCATGCCGCGTGGCGCCAGCCGGAACCTTATCATCATCGTTTGCTGCCTAGGAAGGACTGGGCCCCAGACTCCCCACGTATAATGGGGGGTTCTAACCTCCCTGCCCTGGGACCTGTCTTCAGACACACACTTACAGGGTCCCCACTCAGCAGGGCTGTCAGATGGCTCTTTTTTCTGGGAGGAAAGCAGCCTGTCTGGGACTGCCATTCTATCCCTCGCCGCGGCCAGCCACTCTGGCCTCAGTCTCGGGGATTAGGGCCAGGCAGCCTCTTATTTTAGGTTAAGAGGCATTAGGAAGGGATGAGAAGTTAAGCCTGGGCAGGAATCTTCCAGGGACCTGCACATACTTCCCGGTGGGGGAGGGGGGATGAATAGAGGGTGCCCGGGCTTTCTGTCCTGGATAGGGACCAGCCCCCTCCCTCGCTGCTGTTCGGGAATACTGAGGGGTCTCCTGCAGCCAAGGGCTTGAGAGAAATTCTCAGGCATGTTCAGCTAAGACCTAGAACCAAGGTTCTCTGGCCTACGGGCAGCACCTTCCTCCAACCTACTCTTCTCTTCAAGCATCAGGTTGGTGTCACCCTCAGCTCTGCAACCTACTCTTCAAGCATCAGGTTGGTGTCACCCTCAGCTCTTCCTCTCCACCTTGCCTTTGATCCCCAAAGCACACTGCTTCTGCCTCCAGCCCTTCCCATTCAAATCTCATCACAAGGGCAGACAGCACAATTCACAGTCTCCTTTGCTTAAAACCTATCAGTGTATCCACTGCATATGGAAAATCCAAGTGCCTGGTCCAAAAGGCCCTGAGATCTCTCCAGCCATCTCTGCCAGTTCTCTGAGGCCACTAGGCTGCTCCCCTCCAGTGAGAACCACTCACCCGCTACCGCACCCTCCCCCACCCTGGCCTCAGTGTGAACGGTCCTGAGGTCCCCGCTCAGAGCAGCACCTAACTCCACAGGGAGGTTTGTTATCTCTTCAGGGGTTGTTTCTCCAATACTGGTCTGTGTCCTGTTGGCATCAGAGTCACCTGGGAAGAGTTATAAGGAGCACCGAGTGAAAGAACCTTTATCTCACAAATGAGGTCCTGAGCTGAGGGAGGCAGGCGACCTGCCTGGAGCTGCTCGGCAGCCCAGCCAGGCCTGGGACAAATCTTGGCTCTGTCACCATCTCACTGAGCCTTGGTCAGCGTTGGTAAAATGGGGATGTGGAGAGGATTTGACTCAGGTAAAGAACAGAGCCTTGGCTAGAACTCAGTGCTCACAGTGTGGCCTTAAAGGGGAGTGGAACCAGAGAGAGGCCCAGCAGTGCAACGAACAAAGTACACCTCCTCGGTGAGAGAGCAAGCTGTTTTAATCAGCTCAAGTTTTCCTTGCTTTCCAATCTGACTGCCTAAAGATTATGACATGGGGAGGGTCCTTGTGCCACGAATGAGTCGCTTTGCCCGCTTCCTAAGGCTGTAGTGTAGACCGGCTGGGTGCTGGTCAGGGAGCCAGAGGACCTGGGTCTCCCGCACTCACCGTTACTGTGATTTCCTGTTTGCAGGGAGGCAGGGGGCTGCAGGTTGCTGCCCAAGGCCCCGTAACCACGGTAACTGTAGTTGAGGCCGCCATTGACATACACGGGGTCCTGGGAGTAGGAAGAGGCTGGCAGTGAGTAGGTGGAGTGGGTGATGGCTGCGGCGTCCCGAGAGTGTTGCTTGTCCAGGGCTATGGGCTCGTCCTGCAGGGGAGAGGGAGGTGCTGGGGAACCAAAGGGGCGGCAAGCCCCAACCACTGTCCCTGGATAGTGGTGGATGAGGGGCTGCAGCCCCAGAATTCCTGGGACCCAGTGCTATGACCTGTAGGACTCTACTCCCTCTCCCTGGTCACCTCACCCATGGCCTCCCCTGTCTATGGGGCAGATTTGATGTGTTCCTGCCCCGCTGAAAATACTCCCAGGGCCCTTGGGCTCAAGCGAGCGTCCACACACCCTTCCTGGGTCTGCAGGGCCTTGGAGACTGGGCTCCTCCCCGTCCCACCCCATCACCGCTGCCTCCGTGGCCGCTCTGCCACCCTCGGCGGACCGCTCTCCCTAGCCCCTCTGCACTGGGCTCCAGGGTCTCTGGAATGACTTATGTCCACCTGGAAGCAAGCCCGTGACAGCGGCCGGCCGTGAGCGGTACCTGCGAGGACTGGTACATCTCCAGGCGCATCCTTTTGGCGGCTTTTCTCGTCTCGCTCTCGCAGGCAGCTGCCAGGATGTTTTCTGCCATAGCCGAGGTCAGGTGAGGAGGCGTGGGTCTGGTCTGGAGGCACAATGGGGACAGAGCGGTGTTGGGCTTGCACGGAGAGCCCTCCCCTAGAGGCGGGTGGTACAGGGCTGGGGCTCAGACTCTGGCTCCCTTATCTGTAGAGCTGTGCCATCTTTCCGGATCTCAGGTCCCTCCTCTGTGCAGCAGGGACCGTGGTTCCTGCTTCTGGGGCATTGGGAGGGTTATGGGTCAAGTGTCCAGAGGGATGTGCAGTACTCCAGAGTATGGCTGGAGGTCAGTGGCAATGCAGAGGGAAGGGCTGGGCTAGGAGGTGGGGCTCACCATCTCCATGCCGTTCTTCTTCATGCGCCGGCAGGATTTGAGGTACGTGCGAATGCGCTTGCGGGCCCGCTCCTGGAACTCGGGGAACTGCCGGCTGCAGGACTCAATGATGGCCTGGATCTTCTCCTTGGGCTGCTTGGAGATGGGCACCATGCGGTCTAGGTTCTCGTCCACAAAGAGACGCACAAACATCTGTGGGAGAGACGGGCTGTGGAAAGGGCTGGTCCTGGCTGCCGCCCCCACCCCACCCGTCCCTTGCTGGCGCTCACGTTGAAGGCCTTTAAGCGCTCAGGGTCCATGCCCTCAGAATCGTTCATCTTGTCATTGTCCTCGTGGTCATCGTGGTCGTCGTCGTCGTCATCTGCTGTGGGAGCCCGGCCCACAGTCAGGTCTTCAGGGCAGCCGCTGACTTCGGTCTTGATGGAATCGTAGCTCCCCGAGCTGTAAGGCGGGGACTGAGAGAGGGCGAGGGGTAGGGATGAGGCCAGGCCCTCTTGTAGTTTCTGACAGGCCACGGTGAGCTTGAGAACTGGGATGGCAAGTATACCCAGCTGCCACATGAGCCACAGCTGCGAGGCCCCAAGCAAGTCACCTTCTCTTCCCCACTCCCTTCATCTGTGGAATGGGGACAGCAATGCTACCACCCCTTCCCTGGGTGGCTGTAGGGAGGACTGCCTACAACAGCACACGCAGGGGCCACGTGCCCTGGAGACACTGAAGGGTGCTAGTGGTTTTGCTCACACCAGGACCTGCCACATCCTGCCAGGGAAAGGCAGACGCAGAAAGGGTTTCCCCCACCAGCCGGCTGCTTCTGGTTGTGCCAAGATCTGTTCTGGCTTTGGGGTTCTCCTCCCTGATCCCCAAGGGGCTGCAACCCTGAGTTGACAACCGAGCTGTCACAAAAGCAGCAAGTGTGGTGTCTGTTGGGAAAGAGGAACAGATGGGCTGGGAGAGGGAACCAGCCAAGGCGACAAGTCCATTAGGCAAAGAGCGTTCCCAAAGCTCCCGAGCTGGGGTTTTCCTGTCTGCCACCATCCCCAGGAGGACACCGTGAACCCCAATGTGGAGTATGTGTATAGAAGGGGGCACAGAGAACCAGGTGTAGCCCAACAGCCATTCACTCCATCTTACAGCAGAGAGGGGACCCAGCCCTCTACTACCACCCCACCCCCATCGGGGTCCCTGCCCTGAAATGGCTCTGTGAGGGTCAGTGTCATCTGCCTTTAAGAAAGTCTGTGTCTTTGGTGAGTCCTGACTTCACTCATTGAGATCCTGACTAGCAGTGTCCTGGGAACATGGTACCTGCCCTCAAGGAGGTGGGCATTTAGCAGGTAGTTTGAGTCCAGGAAACAAACAGCTGCACGTCAGACCCTGTGATGTGGCCACATGGTGGCCCAGGAGGGGATCACAGCTCTTGCTGACAAAGGGAAGATGGACACTGGCGCCCAGGCCCGAAGCAGATGCTACCACCAGGCCTCCCTGTGACCATGCCCACAGGGGTTGGCCTCCCTAGGGTCCCTGGCCCATCTCTTGATCTATGCACAGACTTTAAAAGAGACAGGAATACCCAGGTCCTCTGGCCTCCAGCTGGCTCATGCCAGGCTTAGCATGGAGAGTCAGAAGACGTCCTGTGCAAGTCACATTCCCAAGCTGCTTCTTCGCCAGTCCTCTGCCAGGGTCAGAGGAGACAAACTATAAGATACCCGCTGTTGGTGGCATTCATGTTCCCATCTCACTGAGACGATGGTGGCAAACTCTCTCCAGCTCTTTGCTCACTGTGGACAGCAACTATGCCTGTCCTTTGGGCCCTGCTGAAGAGGGCCCAGTACCTGCTCTGGCCAGTACCTGCTCCACGGCCTAAGCTTCAGACACACAGTGACAACTAAACACTCAGCCATTTGTACAGAACTTTCTGAGACGTCATCTCGCTGCTGAAGAGAAAACAGGCGAAGGGAGGAGAAGAAACCTGTGCAGAGCACATGGCTGGAGCCCAGGTATGGAGGGCTCCAAGAAGGCACCTCGGGCCCCAAGCCCTGGCAGGAGAAAATGCAAGCGAGCTCACTGGCACAGCGCTGCACTGCACCACTGTAGGAGACTTTAGTGGCCTGGAGGCAGCTTGCAGAAGTGTGAGAGGAGGCTCCAGAAAGCAGGGGGGAATGCCAGATAGTGGGGACAACTGCTCTGCCCACCCTCCCCCTCCCCACCCCCATCAGCCTGGTTTATCGAGTTTCACACATCTACAGCCCTCGGGCCACAAATAAAGGCCTCCCCCTTTTTCTGCATCATCTGTAAAATGGAGGACGGGCCTGCAGAGCAGCCTGGAAATATTCAGCCTTGGACCTCTGTGATGGATGTGGCCACTTGCTGTTCTTCACAACAGACTCTATCCTGGGTGTGGAGAGGGACAGATCACATATCACTCTCCTCGAAGGCAGGGGCCAGCAACCCCACTCTGTAGATGTGGGGATGCGGGCTCACAGAAGTGGGGGCCTTGCTGAGGTCACACACAATGGCCTTCCGTTCCAGAGCCTCCCCCGGGAAACGACGGCATAGCAGCCATGGCCACCACCCTGACTTGGCATCAACCCCGGGCACACAGTTTCATTTCAGCCTTGGACACCCTCACAGCTCAGGTGGGCCCGAAGCCCGCAGCCCCACACACCTCAGGGGTGCTCTTCACCCCGTACTTGACGCGGCTCCGCAGTCCATCCGTGCCGCAGCCGTCGGAGGGGTAGGAAGGTGTGCCGAGTGCCGTGCTTGGTGGGAGCTTATCACACAGGTTGATGGGCTGATCCTCAGTGGTGGCGGTGAAGTCCATGGGGGCCACAGCGCCATTGCCATTCATCTCGGGGAAAGCGGGGTCACCCTGTGTGCTACTTGATGTGGACGGGTTCAGGGTGGAGGAGCCATTGCCGCTGCCACTCTCAGAGGAGGAGTCATCTGAAACAAGCCAGGCTGTGAGGCCCTGCCCCAGCACCTCCTCTCCTCCGAGACCTCCCACCCCGGGGTATCGTGGCCACGGCAGCCACAGGGAGGGCTTGTCCTGTGTTGTCCTCACGAGCATCCCTGGGCAGGAGTTTAGCACTGCTGTCTCCCTTATAGGCTCCAAGAGGTTAGCCTTGCCCCAGCCCGAGGTGGGGGCAGGGTCCCTCTGCCACAAACGGGCCATTTGGAGCAGAGCGGCCATGGAGTATGCTGGGTGGGTGGTCGGCATTGCACACCCACGACCGCCACACATCCAGGCTCACTGGGGGCCAAGCTTCAAGGGCCTGGGAGTGGATGCAACCTCACGTGTGAAGGCCTGATGCGTTCCAGAGGTCCTTGGACACCCCAGAGGCTGCTTGGGGCCTGGCCAGCAGCCCCCTCTTCCTCCAGTTCACCACTACCTTGCCTCTTCACACTCACTCTCTATAGGACCCCCTCTCCACAGCAGGCCCTCAAATTTCTCCTTCCTTTGCCTGAGGAGGGAGGGATGGCTCCATTGTAAGCCCGCCAGTTACCCACTCCCTCCTGCAAGTCGGCCCAGCCCAATCCTGGCAGCCTAGACGCAGACACACATTCCCCAGATCTGCTGTCTGCCTGGCCAAGTAACCTTGGAGACAGGGCTGGAGGGTCTGGGGTACGCGTCCCCAGCACCTCAATGGGCCATCTTTGTTTTCATAAGGTGACAGCCCAACAAAGCTCTGTGGAGGGCGCCCCCTGCTGCAGAGAGCATAGCATTGCCTAGGGGATCAGGGAGGACAAACTTTTAACTAGTGGGCTAGACATTCTCAGATAAATTCCAGGCCCCTCTCCCTCACCCAGCCCCAGTCTCCTGCTTTATCAGATCAGAAGGCAGAGGCCAAGGCTACGGCAGACTTGAGCTCCTGGGTCACTGTCAGGTGAGTACCATGTGGTTCCCGTGCAGCTCCGCACCTGTACCCTGAGCCAGTAGGGGAGGGGCGGCCACAGCCCTGATGGCATCCTAGGCTGCCCCTTCCCCCAGGCCAGGGTCGCGCTGGACCCCACCCCCACTCTCCTAGCCAGCAGATTATGAAGATTTAGTCCCTGGTGCTGGGCACTGGGCACGCGCACCTCCAGAGCGTCCCCATGGCGACCGAGCGGCTCTAGAGCCCCAACCAATCGCTGGCGTCCCGGCTGCCCGGGGGCGGGACCAGGATGCCCATCAAGCAGCCGGGGCCCTGGGCAGAGGGGGATGGGAAAGGCCTAGGCTCAGTGGCCCCCCTTCCCCCTCGGCTGCCGCAGGTCTCCTGGGCCGGGCTGCCCACCTTCTCCGGGCAGCCACCGTTCCCTCCATCCTTCTGCAGGGCAACACCAGGCTCTGTTTAAGCCGTCCCACGCGTTCCCCCCTCACGCAGCTATCCTCCAGAGTCCCCAGGCCTGCAGTCCTGCTACCTCTGGGGCCTCACCTTCCATCCCTTCTTCCATCACAGTTGGGTCTGGTTTTCTTCTGGCAGTATCTCCAGCACCAATCTAGATATTTGTGTAATGAACAAAATACCCAGTAATATTTACTGAGCACCTACTATGTGCTGGCCCTGTCCCAGCTGGGAAACAAAGTAATGATGACAATCAGGTGCCAGCCCTCTTAGGGGAGCAGATTCACATCACTGAAACACCTGAAAGTAAATAGGCCACCAACCACCCTCCAACTTGCAGACCCTGCTCCTTCCCTCCACCCACCCTGTCCAACTTCTTCAACACCCTGAGAGTCCCCTCACAAGTGTCTCCACCCAACCCTTTTCCAGCACCAGCCTAATCATCACTGCCTTGCTTCATAACCTTCCTGTCCCCCACAGCCTGCTGAATAGAGTACAGCCACGTGTATTCTTAGTCCCATGACCTCTGCAGCCTCTCCACGGCCCAGGTCCCACTATACTGGCCACTGCTGGATCTCACATCTCCAGGCCTTTGCTCGGGCTCTGCTGTCTGCCTGCTATGTTGCTTCCATCTCAGTAAATGTCAACCTTCAAGGCCTGGCTCAAAGCTGCTTCTTTAGAGCAAGACTCCTTCCCTTGAAAGGGACTCTGTCCCTTGAAAGAAGGTACAGTGCTGACCCCCCACCTGGTGCCCATCTGGCCGGGGGATACTTCATGCCTCCTTCACCTGACCCAGGGTTAGTCCTGAGAGCTACGTACCTCCCACCAGGGCAGGGCCTAGTACCTAAGAGACCCCTACACCTGAGGTTCAGGATCCTCTGCCAGGCTGGGGAGTCAGAGGGTAAAAATGGGTACCCATACCAGCCAATCATCTGAACGCCTATGAGCTCTGGCAGATGCCCATTCTTAGCCCATGTTACAGGTGTGACTTCATACCCTGGCACCACCCCCACATGCCACTCACTTGACCTTAGGGGGCCCTGTTTTCCTCCTCTAGAAGAAGGGGTTACTAGGATGGTCAATGGGCACCATGCCTGGCACACTATGAGCTGTCTCTGCTCAGCATGGACATGAGGCCCACAGCCATGCGGCACCCCAAACAACTGACTCCCTAACCAGATTTTCTCCCAGGAGTATGGGCCCTATTGTCCTGTGCTTCCCCAGGTGCGAGCATGCAGGAGGCTCGGGTATTGTGAGGATGCACGGGCAGGCGCTCCCAGCTCAGGAGCCCAGGGTGGCAGCTTAGACTCCTGAGCTGCCAACGCCCTCGCCCCAAGGCTGTGCACTTGGGTTGCCGAGCCAGGGAGCCTCAGGCGCTGGCTCCCCATCCCACTGCTCATATACCACCCCAGTCTGGTAACGGAAGTGGCTGGGCACATGGAACCTGTGAAGCACCAGGAGCCCAGACCTCATGTGGCCACGCATTCCCAAGTTTTTAGAAGAAACTGGAAATCTGCAGCATTATGTAAATATCCACATTTTTAAATATTGGTGACTGACTTCATTGTTTATATTTTGAAAAGCTTTGTCACATGAATGGATAAATAAAATGTGGTCTTATGCATGCAATGGAATATTATTCAGCCATAAAAAGATGAAATTCTGACAATATGAGTGAACTTTGAAAAACATTATGCTAAGTGAATTATGCCAGACACAACAGGACAAACAATGAATGAGTCCGCTTATATGCAATATCTAGAATAGGCACATTCATAGGGACAGAAAATATACTAGGGGTTACTGGGGCTGGGAGGAGAGGGGATGGGAATTATTAATAAATGCAGAGTTTCTGTTCAGAGTGATACAAACTCTAAGTCATCTATAGGTTTCTTAGAAACTACTACTTAAATGAAATAACATAATGAAACCAATTTTGCCACAGACTGATAGAAATAAAAGTTCCTATGGTATATTTCTGGTCACAAAAATATCACCAAACTTCTAAATAAAGACCCCAAACACTTCTAATATTAAACACTGAAATAAATGTGAGCTATACATACATTTAAAAATATTAATAAAAACCAAAGAAATATTTTCCAACCCACTTATTCCAGTTGGCTGGAGCAAACCCACAGACACGGGGAGAATGTGCAAAATCCACACAGACAGTGGCCTGGACCAGGAATCGATTTTTTTCTCATCAATGTTACAATGAAAATGACATTGAACAAAAAATCACGGACCTTATTCAAAGACCTGCTGTATTTTGGAAATAATGGTGCTGGTTGCACAACATTGTTAATGTACTTAATGCTGCTGAATTGCATGCTTAAAAATGGTTCAAATGCAAATTTGATGTTTTTCATATTTTACCACAAAAAAAATCCCCTCAAAACAAACATAAAATGCCTTGAGCAGGCCAGTGGGCTCCAGTTCACAAGCTCCATTTCCTTCCACCCCATTTACCCATGGGCCAAGCCTCTCCCACCTCGAT